AGTTGTTATGAACACAATAGTTCTATGAAGGCTTCACGATCACGGGGCAAGTGGGAGGGAACTGAAGTTTGATGAAATAGGTTTATCTCTTGCTGAAAACGTACTTATTTAATTACAATGCAAAAAAACAATAAAGCTGACTGATACATCTTAAATTTCATAACTAGAAAACTAGTTAGGTGTTGAAAGGAATAACAAAATAGAAATGTTTTCTTATAATGCTTTAATTAAAAAAAAAAATTAATGAATAAATAACGCCTAAGTTTGGGATGATAATTGAGAAAAGTTATGCATCAAATGAGACTTGATAGCTGGTTTTCCATGAAGCGTGATTTTGCCACCTATCTTTAAGAATTTTTCTTACAAAATCATACACGCTAAAACTATATTAGAATCATTAAGATCAGCACAGTCATGTTGCATAGCGAGGAAAACAACTTTGCGGTTTGCAAGTTTCCTACAACTCATCAAAGTCCTTTCCTATACCCACGATCGTTTACGCACTTTGAAATATCGGAATATCTGCAGCGTTAGGTTTTACAAAAGAGTTGTATTAATCCTACACGAAGGTAACTTTTCGAAATATTTGCAAATACATATTTATACCCATATACGAAAACATTGAAGAAAGAAGGCCACTCTTTCCGATCTGCTCGTGAAGGCTCTCGACAATCTTTAGGAAAGTGTCGCTTATTAAACACAATGCTGGGGAATACTTCCAGGAACAAACCACAGTCAGCTCTTACAAAATCTATCAGATCTATGAGAGACGTTTTCTAAGTTGTCAGCTCTAGCAGGACAGGAAATCAGCTACGAGACTGAATCTCTGTACCCTTTCACTGTCAGATGTGACCAAAGAGTAATTTCTTCTCCCATTATCAATACATTTTCAGGAAGTAAGGTGGTGAGAAGAAAGACAAATATCAACGATAGCATATTATTTTTTTCAAATTCTCAGAGCAAAGATTACAAGAAACGTAAGGCAGACAGAGTGAAGAATTCTTATATAAAGTCTTAGAGGTAAAGAGTTGAATATAGACCCACTTCCAAAGATTCTCTCTCTCTTTCTTCTCTTCTCTTCTCTTTTCTTCTCTTCTCTCTCTCTTACGTCAAACTCATTTCTGAAAACGTTAGAATGATCTAGACTAAGTCAATTTCATGTCGCTAATGGGCGCCAACCTCTCATCCAATCAGAAGCAAACCCAAACCCAATCGCGACTTATTCGCTGACGTTTTCGCGCTTCAGGCAGTTTGATTGTTTTTACTTTGAGCTCTCACAGACTTCTTGAGATATCCTTTGTTCTTACGTTCTCTTGAACGGAGACAATGTCGAAATACGCTCCACATTCCCGACCTGGCTTTTTCCTTTTAGAATTTCTAACATAATTGGCTGCACATCCCAGCACTACAGTACTCTTTCCTAAAACAGTGAATCATGATATACTCAGATCAGATCAAGCTTTCATGCTACCTCTGTTTTTAGTTCAAGGATAAAAAAAAAAAACCTTGCCCATGTTTAATATTTTCAAAACTTTTTTGTAAAAATTTCTTTCAGATTTAACGACTAAACACAGTTTGTTAGAGTATTCCTTTTTTTTTGTCACTCATACAGGGAATACATTTCCGCTTGATCTGATCAAACTTCGATTTAGAAAAGTTCTGGGCAGTTCTATACTCAACTTATTCCACGTAATAAAAAAAAACTTATTTAACCTTCAATTTGTCTTAGATCCTTGATCTATTGCGCAACTTAAATGTATTTCTTAGAGCCTGCAACTCTAAAAAAAAAAACAGGAACTATACATTATTCGCGAAAAACCTCCTTGTTTTCCCGGAAACACATCTCAGAAAAGAACTTTCAACAATACTATTGAACGGAGATTTGGAGAATTCTCTCCTTTACAGAGTTAATTTCAAAAACAAGGAACTTCTTATTTTAACATCTACAAAGTGTCTCAGAACCGAATGCTGTAAATATTTGTGTGTCAGTCCACCCATATTTGTTTGAGGAGGCGGCCTCTGAAATATTTTACTGCAATCTGTCATGTCTCTCTCCTGTGGTTTTAAAACGGATAATGTTCAAAAGTCACAGGACAAAAAGTGAATTATCTAAGCATTAAAATCATTAAAAAGAGTTATTTTAGATGAAAAGATTACCACTCTATATATTTCTAAACACATCTTAAGGGAAACTAAGGGTTTGCCCGGGGGGTGGCCGATTGCTGAAGTAAATGAGTGACAACACAGAGGAAATGAAAAATGTTGACACGGCTGAAAGTTGTTTACTGGTTGAAATAGACGCGAGAGCTTTTAAGGAATATTCGGGTAAGATAAGATACACAAGGCGCTTCCAGGGATCTCAAGTTGAGTCAATAACATTTGATGATAAGTAAACTCTTGGCCACTAGCGAAGCGTTGGTCCAAACAAGTTTTTTAAAAATAATACAATGGCAAGTGGGCGTATTTTAATTAAAGGAACCTAAAAACTGAACCACTCACCACTAAATGTATATTTACAACAAAGTAAGATTTGTAAAATTTCTCAAAATCGTGGAACATAGAGAGATATAAGTGAATATGTACTTTTACCAAGAAATTTAAGTCTTCAATAAAAGTGGAATCGGACCTCAGGTCTTCCTGCCCGCCTTCGTTTGCTTTACAAAGTAAGGGACATGGAACAGGTTTACATTACATAGCACTTTGATTTCGAGTTATTTGCAGCGTTACCTGATATAAAACATCTCTCTATTTAACGAAACTGGGGTCTTTGTTCCAAAGAGCAACGCAAGCTTCGCTCTCAAATAAAATGTAAACCTACCGTTTAGCGTCACGCTATTTCAGTAAGACTAGCCAATGAGCGACAGAAAACGAGCCATATCGCTTTGAATGTTTCTATTGTACAATGAAAATGACAGTTCATTAAATGAGAAATAATACTTATTTTTGCGCCTTAGTTGTTCGTCTGGTAGGGGTATGAGAGAAAAATGCTATATCTAAACGAGAAGGATAAAGTAATTATTTGTAATTTGTGAATTTTTCAGTTTAACTGTAACCAGCTAATAGCTATGGACAACAGCAGTTGATTGGTGTCACAGTAAAACAACTGCTAATAGATCTCAACTTGGAGCAAAAAATTGTTTGATAAAGGAAGATGTCCAGCTTTTATCACAGGCACGGGGTGGAGAAAAAAACCGAAGCTCCCAACAAAAAGTCCAACCTCAGACTTCGCGGTCAAATCAATCTACCAACTATGCTATAGAGAGCTCGTTGTTAATCTGAACCTCTAGGTTTTATAATTTAGTGTTTCCTTGATTTCTCGGAAAGAAATGAACTATTAAACACAGAACCACTGACACAAGTAAATTACAAGCTAGCGCTTGTCTAGGTCTAATTGAGAAACACAATATCGCTTGATACAATAACTGTCTATCTTGTGTTATTGTCACAATACAAAAACATTTAGCCAAAACATTAAAGCCTACGCTAAAAAGTAAGCGATATTATGGCAGTAAATTTAGCGGGGTCCGTTTCAAATTCCTAAAATCCTATTTGATTTACAAGTGTTACCTGCGTTCTTTCTAATTTAGCACTCGAGTATGATGGCAAAAATATCAACAGAGAAAGCCCCATGTTACATAAAATATATTAAAATTAAATCTCCTCTTCATTCTCGAGACTCGTTTCATTTAAACGATTACAATTTGCTGTTCAATTCGCACCAAGTGAGTTTTGCCACAGCATTCTCCAAAAGACTCATTTTTACGCATCTTACTTTTGACAATTACTTCTCTAACAACTGCTAAAGATGTCAGCACAGAAATGCAACCAAATGGGAAGGAATGGTTAAGTGTGATTGTCACTTACTATGTCTAAATTATTACAAATTACGGGTTTCGTGTCAACTGTTGCTTTCATGACAGAGAATATTTTTAGTGAATTCAAAGATTTGGTCTACATTGCGCTGTAATACGAACACTGGCATATCGTTCCGCATTTCTGATTTCGATAAATATCACCTACTTTAAATTTCGCTTTAAACTATACAGAAAGGCCGACGGCATTTTCGCAAAACAAGATGGACTCTGAGATTCTGAGATCCTACAAGATAATGTTCATCATACTAGTAATTTTACAAATTGAGAAAAGTCCTGTCTATTAAGTATGATTTGACAAGATTTTCGACTTGTGAGGCGTGCCTGTTTGGCGGGCGCCATGAAAAAAATAGTATCACGTGTTATTTTTATACTATTTTCCATAATCATTATTTCTGAAGTAAACAGAAAAATCTCCTTGTAAATTCGACAAAAAACTTAAATTTGGAACGTTTGAATCTTCAAGCTGGTATTTATGTTGTAAACTTTACGTAAATAAACTGTTCCAAGCAATGGCCAACTACCAGCACAGAAAATTAAATATTGCTGCGGAATTTTTCATTTAAAACATTTCTTATATTGTCCTTTAATCTACATGGCTTGTATTGGATCGGAAAGCTATATAATTTGAATAATACAACTTATAATCTATCATAGTATGACATCAATGACAGAAAAAAAGAATTAATAACATTTGAGATGTTGTATGAGTTTATTGCATTTTATTCAATAACTGCGAAGCTATTTCGCTCTTTGACGGAAAAACCAGCAACAACCAGTCGCAAACATGTACGCAAGAAATATTGAAAAACTCTGAGGTTACACTGCACACGATTGAGGTCCACTTCGTCGTGAGCAAGTACTGGTGCATTCAAAATAAGCATAGAACTAAAGGTTTGCATGTTTTCAAAAGGACCAGCTTTTTTAACAGAATAATTAAAATTCTATCACGCGGTCGATACATAAAAACTCATTTAGGTTAGGTGAGAATTGGACGTACAACATAAAGTAGTCTAATCTCTGCTTTAAATGTCCGCTAGCAGAGCGCTATATCTTAGACACATGCTCATTAAAAAGACTACATCGACTCAATGAAGTATATCAATTGCTTTTATTGTTCAGGTAATGAAGATGAACGGATGTGAATAGCTAGCTCTTGTCCTAGGAAAGTTTAATATATTTTCAAGTGTTATTTCGACACACAACTTTGAAACGATCACTACATTTGCTTCGTACTTTGAGATGACTGTAAGATATTCACAAAAATCGTAAGCAATTTTAACCTTCACAGATGACTGCAAATGAAGAAGAGACTCAGGTATCCTTCACTGGATCATTCGAGAAATCATCCAAGGAAACAGGTCACTTTCTGGTAGGGAAAACACGAGTTTGCTTTCTTTGTAATCTTTTGTACAATTTATGGCCGCTTAGGATTTCCGCACAGAACACAGACTCGTACCACACTTCTCAGCCAGCAATCCTTGCGCACAAACGGCTTACGAATATGAAATTTAATTTTCATATTTATGATAGAGAAGAAGGAAACCACCAAACGGATTTAGATATTTATAGAGAGACAAAAGATACAGCTTGTAAAATGATAGAAGACCGTCAAAACACAAAGCCAAAGTTAAATGCGCGAGTGCACTACTTCCCAAAGTTGTTAATGGTGTGAGTAGAAAAATTTTGAATTTGAAATCTTATCCAACGCAACTCCTTTCTTTAAAAAAAGGAAAGAATTCTACGACTTTAAAGAGCGCCTCTTCCTCGCAAAGACCGGGTAGAAAATGCTGGAATTGTTAGCGTATAAACTAGCATCTCTGCAGTAAACACAACGAAGGCGTTTTGAACACAATGCTACATAGAAGAGCTGTTATACTAAAAGGTTTCAATTGAACAAATAAGTAATCGTGCTGTTAATAAACCATAGACTGTTTCGTATTAGGTCTAACCTACACAACTAGGTGTCAACTTTGTTTGAAAACCGCTAGCGTTTTCAATGTCCGCCACGTGTGGCTGTGGACTTTGGAAATGCGATTTGCAATCTGGCCACAAATGAATGACATTCCGATCAAGCCGGGCAGATATGTCTCAACAAATCGCTCTGTGATGTATAAAAGCTGGATGACTGAGTGCTAAAAAGAACCATGTATATAATAACGGTGCGGACACCAGCGGTGAAATTCTTGTCGAAGCTGTGAAAAGGTGGAGTTCACACAGAGTTCCTGCTGAGTTACAACGCGGCGCCCCGATGCGTTGCAACATACAAGGACGGCGTGTACCACAAAACGACTCGTTGTTAATTCATGAAATCCTATTCAGTGGGTGACTTTTGAAGAATTTCAATTTAAACAGGTAGAAAATTGCCAAGTAAATGAACAAAGGTTTGGTTCATGAAAAGATATTCACAGAGTCCTTAGAAGATACTGCCAATCACAAGCGAATGACAGAATGTATGGCGGAAAAAATTGCGTGTGCTAAATTCGTCGAGAGTGATGTTGCCTTGAGTGGTTTTAAAGGGCTTGTTAGAAAGGAATCGCATCAGCTCTACTCGGAAGACTTGTCAGATTTCCAATTCAAATTGTCCCATTTTACAAAAACTTAGTTTGACCTTTTGTACCCTCAATCATTTGTAATGGGGTACAAGAGAAATACAGGCAACTGCGCTTGTTACAATACAATACGATCCAGTCTGTAGACTCTTTGACTAATTGTTTGGTTTCTATTTTACATAAATTTGTTACGCTGTGAGGTGAATACAGAAAGGCAAGACCAAACTATAAGCAAGGCTTTGTTATTGAACTTTTTTTTTTAGTCGGTTGTTACACGCCAAGATTTCGGGCGCTTTGAAAAACAGCTTGTCAAGTGGTCACATACGCATGCAATGACACACACCGGATGACGAAAAGCAAACATTAATTAGAGAGCGGGTGAGAAAAAGCAATGCAACAATGACAAAGTCAAGAAAGGAAGTAATTTAGAAAGTAAACGACGAAATCAAAAAGCTAATTCGCTCTTGTGAGGTTAAGAAAAGCCGAGAAAGCGGTTGCGAAGTTGTTTTGGCGATGGAGTGAAATATAAGGCGACAAGACTGGTGCGTTTAAAGACGAAATATGCGTTTGTGAGTAGCCTAGTATATAAAGAAATCTGTTTACATGAGGCCTGATGTGTTTAAAGGAAGTCTGTGATTTAGTCTATCGAGAGCGGAGATTTGAAAAGAATTTCTTCCCTGAGTTCAGAGTTTAAAGAATGGCCCTGTGAGCATGTTGTTTACATCTTTATGAACAGTCGAATGGCGTGAACATGTTAAGACCTCGTGCCAAATACAGGTCCCCAGCTAGTGGTTTCGTTAACACTTTTCAAGGGGGTGCGAAACCAGAGGATATTACAAATTTGTAAATAAAATGCTATTAACGTCTTGAAAATTTCTCTTGATTGTGCTTAAAGCCAAGAGATTTTGAGATAAACTGGAAGAGACGCCACTCGCCAGCGGGTACAATTCAAGAACGATCCCTTATTTCAGCCCGTGAAAGTTACTTTACTGTACTCGGCGACTAAGAAATGTCTTCCTGAACAAACTCACACCTTTGTACAGCTGCCATGTCAAAGTGAGAACGGAGCTTAATTTCCCTAAGATGCGACAGTTTTGGAGACGAGGCTCAAGTTAAGCTAGCAACGATGCATTCTAATTTAAAGTGCGTTTTTTTGCACTTGATCTTCTTTGAGGTGGCATGAATCTTGGTAGAACGACAATTCGCTGCCTGAAAAATGCCTACATGGAATTAGATAATCTACTCCACACGTGGCTAGAAAACGGAGACTGTATGCTCCGCTAAAGTGACAGTTGAAATCACTCGCGAATCAGTTGTCTGGTAGAACTGTTTTAGATCTGCTCGACCACGCCTTGTTATAGACTCAGTTCTTTTACAGCTTAATTTAACTCTATACAACTTTTCGTTTCAGATCTGACGTTTTCAGTGTTCACACAAGCACACTTTGCAATAACAGCCTTCCTTCACAAGAAACAAGAAGAAGAAAAATATATTGTGTTACCTTTCAGTTGGAATAATCTCAATAAAATCACATTGAAAATTAACAGCGCTCCGCTTATTTTTGTCTCAAGCTATCATTAGCCTGAGCCATTTGTTGGCTCCATAATGAATAGAAAACCCTTTGAAGTCGGCTCCTATGTCCTGTTGAAGTTCACAACAATTATTCCGTCCGGACATTGTCATAAGCACTTTTGTAAATCACAGTTTTTAACAATGAATATTTTTTACAAGAGATTGATTCGAGCTTAGGGATCAAAAAAGAAATAAAGCATCCTATATCTGCACGATGGAGATGAGTGAATTGAAAAAGTCACAGTAACGATAGATTCTCGTTAACAAATTTTCATTTTAATCCCTCTGGGTGTAAAAGTCACCCAAAATCTAAATCGCTTCGTGACTCTCAGAGGAGACATAAAAGGGGCACACCAGAAAATTATCAGTAAATGCGGTCCACACTATTAGTATCGGTGGAGCCAGATTTCTTCAAAATTTAAGCATTATTTCTCTAGGCACGTCGAAGGCATAATTAGCAGCTCTCGTGTAATTGGCAATAATACCGCATTTCTGTAAACAGACTGTTCAAAGGGACCGCCTTGAAGACTTCCTTTAGCAGCCTTAAAACCGCCTCACAATAGATGCAAAAAACCGAGCTTGTGAGTACGTCTCGTAAGTGAGTGCATTTTTCGTTGAATCCCATTTAGCAAATCAAACCGACGTATCGAAACTTAACCGGAAAGTGAAACCTTTTTCCCTTAAAGCTATTTTGGCATATCTTGGACTTCAAAAGAGCCCCGCTCAACTCTGTTATAAACATACGCCTTTAAAATCTCTCAACCCACACAAAAGTATTGAGATAAACTATAAAAAGTGTTTATTATTCTTTTTTCGATTACGATTAATAGACAGGATTCTAGCGAAGCAGGCATCTTATTTACATGGAATTGTACAATTTTCGTTTCCCTGTCGTAAAGACGGATACTTATTTGAACCAATTTCAATTTACGTGCGATCCACGCACTAGTATAAATATTCGAATCCTCTGAATAAAATATTCCTTCCCTGGTTACAGCAAGGATATATTTAAATTTTTCCTACAACAACGAATTCTTCTCGAGTTTTAATATATTACAATGCGGTAAAATTAAAGTGGTTTATTTCTAGGATAAATATATCTCGTGTCCGCAGAGTTCTTTTTTTTTTTTGTTCTCGGCCGTTGGCCGTTTCATTGTCAGTTTAGTTAGTGCTCCACGTTGATAAAAGTATCGACACTTTGAACGTCCATGGTGTCGTTTTCATCTTGTTTCGGCGTCAAGGCGAGTACACTACTCAACTGCGCCAGCCTCTCGCTTTCTTGTACATCAATATTGAGTTCTAAAGACATGTCTTTTACATCTGGTTCCTCTTTGATGCGATCTTCATCCGTTTTATCTGCGCTTTTCTTGATGTTATTCTGGTGAGTCTTTTGGTGTTTTCTGAGATGATCGCTACGCATAAAACGCTTGCCACACTCGGCGCATTGGAAGCGTTTCTCGCCGGTGTGTGTTCTCAGATGCCGTTGAAGCTCATCAGATCGCGTGAAGCTCTTGCCGCAAAATAACCAGTTACAAACGAACGGCCTTTCGCCTGTGTGCCAGCGAAGATGAGCCTTTAGGTGAGATGTCTTGCCGTAGACCTTCCCACAACCAGGAATATGACAAATGTGCTGCTTTCTCTTAGTAGTGTTCCCGGTTGTGGCAGCGAGCTGACAGTTAGGACAACGGCACCTTCTGCATCTCCTAGTCCCTGTTACTTGGTTAGACAAAGATGCAGCGTTGTATGGGCTGGCGAGATGATAACTTGCACCAGGGTTTGCATGATAACTCATGGACGAGATGTGACTTGTGGGTGCAACGGACATACTTGGCGGAACTGCGCTGGAGATCGGGCTACGTACAACAGTTTTATTCGGCTCTACACTCCACCAGTGAAGGCCTCCAATGTCGTTGTACTCGGTTTTAAACGCCGCCGTGCAGCCCAGCGATAAGGGACCACTTCTAGTCGAGCCAGGACAAGCGTGTACCGCGGCCATGCAAGGGGAAACGGGTCCGTGCGAAGAGCTCCCGTGAGAAACGGCGAAATTCTGATGGACATGGCTCTTGGGGGTGGCAGACAGGTAGAACTCTTGAAAAGGAGAGAAATGCGATTCAGCCGGCGGTGTTAAAGGAAGCATTCGCTCTCCGGGACAGCTCATAATTTGACTCATGTTCACTGCATGTTGGCTTAGCTCGGGCAGAACAGCGCCGGAAAACTTGCCGTGACAGTCGTAGTCGCGGTGAGAACCCGACTGACCGATTCTACTACAGGTGGCAGCTAACAGGGCCAGCGGAGAAGGTTTGCGATATTCCTGTAGAAATTAACAACGACAAACCGTCAGCAACGAGGCGGTCGTAAACGCTGTACCGATTTAATAAATAATACACACAAATAGCAACTTTAAGCGACTTTCGTAAGGCGCTGAAAATCCCGTAAATTAAATACCTACGTGAGAAAACGGAAAATATTCCGGTCTTGCTAGAGCAGCCGTTGCCATTTCGTAATAAATAGAGGACGACTATTTTTTGTTGAGCACAATTCGAATTCACAGCGCTAAATACGATCTTTCGCGTCCAAGAACCGAGACTAAAGTGAAACCTGCCTTTCTATACACGCACAAAGCATTCAGCTGGTTTGAGAGCCGGTGGCGGGGAAAACAGACTAAATGTAATTAGACAAACGAAGCCGACCGCCAATGAGAGGCCAGAGGCGGAGACTATTGCTTATAGACTTCTCACAGCAATGTTGTTATCGTAAATAAGGTGCTATTATCAAAGATGATATGGGAGGAGCGAGAGGGCGGCGAAGTAATGAACAAAATCAAAAGAAGGGACATTTTATGATTGGATTTCCATGATCAAAGCGGACCGCCGCTAATCGCGCGCCATGATTGGTAGACACTTTATAAACAAGCCGCAGCTCGACCCTTGAAAGAAAATCATTTGTTATATTATTGTGTATTTCCGTTATCACGCCACATTATTGTCAGCACCTTTAAAAGTACTGTCATCGTTCGCAAAAGAGACCGCCTTTATTTAAATAAGAAAGGCTTCTGCAATACACTTGTGAAGGAGGCAAACAGGCCATTGTCCCAGTAACAAGCTATAAACAATTAGAGTCTTGTGCACGAGGTATACTGTGGCTTTTCGCGATAAAGATGCTTGAGGTGTTAACCTTTTATCGTGCCGCGCGTTTCGCTCAACTGTTTACACGGCGAAAAAAATTCATGTCAGTTTTGCGACAGCATAGGGCCCGATCCTGGCACTTTCCGGCTATTATTTTTACGGTACGCCAGAATACAAACATTTTGTTGATGCAAGCTTAAATTCGCTTTTAATGTTAGTTTTATGGGGGGACAGAATGTTCTAACAAGCGTGCGCGCTTACTAATTAGAAACCCGCCTTCGGAGACCGCCTTCGGGTCCACCTCAGCTTTACGCGGAGCAGTGTTTGTGTTAATCAACCCCGGTCGGTGCTCTCGCTTTCTGGCTCTATCAGCAACACGGTCTCGGCAATATTCTGACTGAGAACTAAAATTGCACTCAGATATCCGAGCGATCGTGATGACAGACTGACATCGACTGTTTATGGGTAATTATTGATGGTCCTCGCTTGTCGAGACAGCGGCATCCTTTGAGTTGGTGGATCAATTTCGACCAATTTCCTCGGCTAACAATTAACAAGTTATTCTCACTCTAACCGTGATTGAAGGGTGTCAGCAATTTTTCATCAGGCTCAGGTGCATATTTCACTACTATTTATTTTATTATGTAGGTTAAAGCTTCTAAAACCCGTAATTGAAACAAATCGCTGCCCAAAGAAACCCCCTTTTTCTAAGAAACATTGCCGTAGATTTACCGGCTTTTAATATTGCACTGGTCTATGTCTTGGCCAAACAAAGAAGCGTTTGCCGCTCTATTACAATGAAATTTTTTTTAACAGATTTCGTTCACGTCTGAAGACACGAAACCTTAAATTTAGAGCAAAAACAAAACCCCGAAACTTTTTTTTCAACCGCCGCAAACGTATTATAGAGATTTAGCACCAATAGACTTCAACACTTTAACTTCAAGGCTTAGAAATCGCTGATCTGCGCTGATAAGAAACAGTGGGCCAATATATTTCTCAGATACTCTTACTGCGATGACATGCCTCTGGCTGACTCTTGGGAAACACTCAGGCGAGGAAAGAACAATAGCTAGCTATCCATTAAAGACTCCTGAAGGAGGACGAAAGCGCAATGTAAGGACGTACTGTCTCTACTGCTTGCCGGCTATCCTACGACTTCACTGTGTTAGCATTTCCGAAATCACGTTGTTGAGTCTTAAATAAAGTGACTTGAATCGTGCTAAGTTCCGCTCCTAGGGCTTAGCAAGATTAAAAAGTTTCATCAACGCGGGGTTTAGCGGCGTGTTGTATTCAAATAAGCCACGGGGGTGCTGGGAGAATAAAATAAAACCCAGTGATGTAATTCTTTTTTGCTTATCATAAACGTAGGGATTATGGCAGTCAAGGCGCCAGTCCGGAGCCGAGATCGGCGGGAACCTATCTATAATTCACATTGTTTCCACTTAGCAAAACTCATAAATTTCTCCCCGAAGAGAGAGAAAAATATCCGATGATGCAAACTTTATTGAAAAACTGTCGGGGGACAATTAAGTATTTTTTTCCCAAACCACACCATTAATTTGGTTTACGGCGACCAGAAAGGAGGACCTTTGTCAATCTTTTGCCAGACGTATTGAAGCTCGCAAAATCATTCGTAAATGCTCAATTTTTTTCTCTTGAAATTTGGTTACAGCGTGACAGGATTTTAGTCTCGTCAACAAACTTGAGAAAACGAACTGTCAACCAAAAGAGATTTTGAACAATGCTAACGTCTAACAAAAGTCGGCGACTTCAAAGACCAACTTTGCATTCATAGATCTTTCTTTATAATATATTTGCCACTAATTGAATATTTATTCTTCGGCCTCAGAAAATTGTCATTTCGTAAAAAGCATCCTGAAAAATAAAACAATCAAACATTCTCGGTTTAAGAGTAAGCCGATTTTTCTAATTGCTGGCAAAAATAGAAAGAAGGAAAGTATTAGAAAACACGGTAAGACCCTCAAAGACCAGAGAAACCGCTTCTCCTAAAAAAAAATCCCTCAAAGTAAACAACGGGTTTACTGTTTGCGCGGACACTGTATTGGGTAAAAATTCAATTTTCGCTTTCTTTCCTTATCATGTTTTTGTATGTGTTAATTCTGTTTGCTCTGTTTGTATAGCATATGGAAAAAACCAACGGCATTTCTGAGAAAAGAGAGTGAACGCTGCTGAGGCTTACACATATCTCCACCTTTGCAGAAAAAGCAATTCAACTTTGTCAAATATGAGAAAATTTCATGTATATTGTCAATTTTTGTTCCAATTCAGGGATGGATTTACTAGGAAAGGTTGGATGGTATATTATACGACCTAATAACCAACATAAGATATTGAACAATTTTCTTATTTTAGCCTGAGGCAATTTACCTATTAACGGAATAATTCACACGGATAAAAAACGTGAGAAGTTCACATCAAAAAATCAACATAGCCAGCGCGGTTCAACAGAAAGAGTAAATCTTGCAAATACCGCCGACTGAGTGTGTATTTGTTCCTCTTTAATCTCCCCGTTATCTATGCTGTCTTTCTTTTACTTTTCACAGTTCCGTAGAACACGTTTTAATCGATATCATCGCTGTGATTTTCGAAATCTTTTAAGCTGTCTTATGGCGAACAACGAGGAAAAAAATGTCTCCGGTAGATTTGGAAACAATCATTCTTGGCGCTACAAAGTGCAAACTGCGCGCGTTACAAAAGGTTTTTCTCGATTTGCTCTCTGTATGTTTCATTCAGACTATCTGACAAACTTTGCATTTGCGAAACGGGATAATTATATAAGCCGTTCAGGTGGCTGAATTCTGAACTTTAACTCTTTCATTTCTCGCTGTTTAAAATTGTATCCGCATGTGCCCTGGCGAATACTTTACTATTCCAAAAATAAACAGCCTCGAGGCGGGAACATCAGAACTTGCAAAGTCTCCGCTAATGTTAAATTTCCTGTGTAAACTTCCTCGCGTTAGAAACTCTATGCCAGTGAAACTGTCAAACGCCTTTTTTTCAGTGAACGAGAAGAGGTAAATGTCTTTTCACTGAAATCTGCCAATCTCTGTCAAGTAATTACAGCAAAGCTGATATTAAGAGCCAGCCAGCCTACTCAGGGCGCATTTTCAATAAAGGCGGTCGCTTTTGAACTCTATTTTTATGGCGACTGATAAGGGCAATTCATCGCACACTTGGCACGCGTTTTGATTCGCGAAGATAAAAGGAGCCCTTAACGTTGGCGCTTGGCTGTCTGCTGCAAGATCCAATACTCTGTTTTACTTGAAAACGAGCTCTATTTCCGAGTAATTATAGCCTTAACGAGCCTTCCGTTTTAAAGAAACGCGAGGTAAAAGTCCTGTTTCTTCTTATAAACACACCGAGTCGCTGTGTCTGTAGCTTGAGGCTGTGGGTTTGTACCGCCACGCGAGAATAAATTTACCGCTTCCCTTCCCTTGTCATTAAAATTGCACCAAAGAGGTACTCGAGAACCAGCAAAGCAAAACCTTGATGAGCGTTAGTCAAACTAAGGTAAATGTGAAATAGTGGACTGACCCAAGGACATATAGCTCTGTTTCGAGTAAGAAGAATCATCGAGCTGTGAAATTCCAAGCAGTCGGCAGGTAGACCTCGCTATTTATGATGACATTAAATGCCCAATACTGTTCTTACACAATTTCCGTTTGTATTTAAGATAAGATCAAGATCTAGTGTACCTTTTTATTGCACCGTTTCTAGTAATAAAAGAGTTTACAGAAACAAGGGCATCTCCAAAAAAATGTCATTAAAAGTTTTGTTTCAAGATAGTAATTTCCATCGATTTAACGAGATATTGTTTTAAAATTGCAAGACTTGATTCTCGCACTGCACATATGGAATGAAGAGTAAAAATCACTTTAGATCAAATATAGAAAGGAATTAGTTCGCAGGTTCTACACCTGTCGATGCTCTTGATTCAGAAAGAGTTTCTTGTGCAAGTTGTTTAGGCAAGTAATCGTTTATCACTGCGATGCACTGCTGTAAACTTACTGATACAAGTCGCGGTTTTGTCGAACCCTAGGCAAGATTGTTTGGGTTGGGACAAATCGCCCACCTTTTTCATATAACATTTGGAGGCATAAATTTCAACATCATTGAAACGGAGGAAATAAGAACGATTATGACCTGATTAAGCCCTTTGATC